CTACTACTACCACTACTACTACTACTACCACTACTACCACTACTACTACTACTACCCAACTTTGGTAGTAGGTAGTTTTGCTATTGTCCGGGTCAATACCACGCATACCCTAGCGGGGCCTTATATGTTACACCACACCAAGTCCCGTAGCTTAGATCAACGGTTTCCATCACTGAACAGCAGGTCCTTGTGACCATGGGATTTGCCCCGTCTGCTGTTCATCACATGAAAATGTGTAATAATTAAGAAGGACAACTTTTATTGATAGAATTCGAAGCGGGAGAAAAAACCCACTTGGGTAAGCGGAGTGGTACGAAAAGGGCATGCATACTCGTCGAATCAGATCAAATGTGCAAGTTTGTGCTAAAGTTCGCGAAAGGTTAATGCACTCTTTGTTCGACGTTGAAGATACGTGAAGTTCCGATAGGGGTATTTTCCGAAAGCGGAAGACACGGTGAACACCCATTCTAAACCACGTGTATACTGTATCGGCATGATCTGTGTCAGCTTGCAAGTGGACGCAGATTTGTCAGAAGATGCACACACACACACACACAGTAGATGATGGCATAGTTTCCGAAAGCGTTCAGGTGATAAAAAACAGCACCACCACCACCACCAGCAATAACAACAACAAAGCATAAAACCCGAAAGCCAAGATGTGAACAACATTGTTCTATGTATGTCTCTCCCCAACTACCCTTCTGTGTGTGTTACGCGGCGAACCCGATATCGGACCGAAGTTTTGTGGAACAGGCTTATATAGAATACAATATGTCGGTATACAGATGGCGTAAATAGATGGGAACATAATGAAGTCGGATCAGTATACGAATGATGTGAAAGGTTGGCAACAAGTCTATGGATTAGGCGTAAACAGGATGTGGGTCAACGGGAAGTACAGCCACGTCGTCTGTCCTAATTAATGAATGATGATGGGAGAGGTTCAGCTTTAAATCCAGAAATCTTCTCAAAGAGTTTGCAAAAATAGTTCAGAAGAGTAGCACATGATAAGGAGAAAACATGAGGATGAATAAGAAAAAAAGGATGATTGTGACATATGGAACTTTTTCAGTTTATAACCCCTCTCTTTGAAAACCTAGCGCATGGTTATGTGAAAACCATAGAAATATATGTTGTCTATCGCAACTGATTGAGGCTAAATAAATTCAAACTGGATGAGGTTTTATCAGCCGTACTCAAATAAACCTGAAGGATTGGACTGGGTGAAATAAAAGTAAAAAAAAAAAACACGCACATGCTCGGTAATATTGACGAGAAGTTCAACACATATTGGTGAACTGTACCTCCCAAAGCCTCAGTATGTTCCGCGGTGGGTGTCCTGAATTTTGTTTGATCATCCTGTCCATGCACCTCATGAAATGCCAATACACAACCAAGAGTTTCAAATAGTCTCTGCTGAGGAAACTCCACTAACTGCCTTCCCGTGACGGAGATGTTTTCCCACCAAAGTGAGCGGACAAAAAGCAAATATCCAGGGTTATAAATGGGTTGGTGAACCACTGGCTGTTCACCTAAGAGAGTTCTCTAAAAATCCTGATTATAAACCAAATAAAAAGAGACGTACAAACCACACTCATCGACACCTTGGTGCTTGTGGCAATGGTCATCGGCTCGATTGGGCATCAAGGTGTATTGGGCACTTTAGACGCTTGACCCCGTCCAAAGGGCGTATGAT